ATGTATGTATGTATGTATGTATGTATGTATGTATGTATGTATGCATGTGTGTACATATATTTATGTATGTATGTATGTATGTATGTATGTATGTATGTATGTATGTATGTATGTATGTATGTATATGTATGTGTGTATGTATGTATGTATGTATCTATGTATGTATCTATGTATGTATGTATGTATGTATGTATGTATGTATGTATGTATGTACTTCGTCCAGAACCTCAAAAAGCGCAAGCTCCCTGTTTTGTATATACATACATATATGCATATATAACTTGTATCTACATAATATCTACGTCGCTCTGTCTGTCTGTCTGTCTGTCTGTCTGTCTGTCTGTCTGTCTGTCTGTCTATCTATCTATCTATCTATCTGTCTGTCTCTCTCGCTCTCTCTCTCTCGATGGCTGGATGGACGGATGGCGGATGGAGTTACTGACGGACGGAAGGATGGATGGATTCCCCTCCCGTCTCACCTCAACCCTAACAAAACTCATGAGTTGCCCTGGCCCTGATCCAGGGCTGGACGGAGAGACTGGGAAGGCGACTGCAGTCAAGGGCACTTCCAGGGAGGTCCGCCCTGACAGGGAGCCCTTTGACCCTTACATTTGATTCTAATTCGGCACGGTGGCAACGCGCCGTTGCTCACCAGTTTCACCCTAAAGCGACAACTACGAAGCAAAGTACGCATCCACTGCATGTAGCACGTTGCAGCAGCAACTGGGTCATGCCCGCCCGCTGTACATCACATGTGGCATGCCAAAGCAGCTGCAGTGGTGACCTGGCGGCACTGTGCAGCACCTCAAATTCGGAAAACATGTGGCCTGCTGAGCTCATGAGAACGCACTGCTTGAATTTTGCTAGACTGCTTCAGAACATGCAATTTTTTTTGTGCCGGTTATCCAGCTCAAACGATTAGCCAATCCCTATATAGGGCAGCTCGCTTCATCTGCTTGCCCCCTCCCACGGGTCATGCCCTGAGAGAGCCGGTGTTGGCTTCTGCATCCGCGGTTGCCCTCGCATTGCCTCTGTCATGGGCATTTGAATGCAGGGGGAAAGCCGCGGGCCTTGCCGGGCATGGTTGGAAGCTGAGATCTAGCTCGTGCAGATGGATCACAGAAGTCCAAGTCCCTGTGAGGATCAGGGTAAGCCTGGAGTAGTGGTGAAGAACACCTTCTTGGAGGCCCGGAGTCAGGCTCAGGCTCTTGCGCCTCGTGCCTCACCAAACTCCCCCCAAACCTCTGCCAGGTTGGAGATCACATGCCGGCCCTGTCTGATTGGCCGGAATCTTCCCATGTCCCTGCGCTTGCTGCGCTTCTGAGCCTCTTCTTAAGGCGCCGACAAATGTCCGAGCCAGCCGGATCTCAGTTTCTCCTGGTGCTGAAGTTAAGAATCGGACACACGGAAGTGACCAAGGTCAAGATCTATACAAGCCCGGCAGAGGAGGTCGGAACTCTGCATGCCACTGTCTGCTCTCTAGCCACAACCCCTTTGCTTGTCAGGATGCAGAGGAAGAGGCAGAGGCGCCTGCGGGTGTGGGGGCAGGGTGATGTCAATGAGTTGGGATTTCTGCGTTCACGGTCCAACGACAATATCCCGCAGGCCTAGATTTCATAAATCGTGCTTTGCATGCCCGCGTCCATCGAAGACTGGGTGCACTGCCGGCGAACTCTAAACTGAAACCGCAAACTGCAAACATCCTGCTTTGCCTTCTCTTTCCTGGGCATCAATGGAAGGTTCCAGAGCAGATGCCACCGCTGCCCTTCGCAATGACACCGCCCTCCACGTCCTCCACGCATCCTGGCCACCCAGGGCTCGCACCTCAGAGAGTGTCACGCGGAGTTTCTGTGAGACTCCGGCGAGTGGGGTAGTTTTGGGCCGGATGTGAGCTCACGGCTTAGGCCTGGGATGCCACAAGTGATGCCCGGGGTGCCCGTGGTGATGCCTGGTGCAATGCCTGGGGCGATTCCCGGGGTGATGCCTGGAGCAATGCCGCCTGGAGCAGTGGGTCCATCGCAGTGCTTCGAGGCAGAAAGTGGTTTCTGTTCTTTGAAAGCCGCCAAACTTTATGCTGGGGTCGCTATGACCCTTCAGGCACAGCCGGCTCAGCCGATGCCACGACAGGCCTTGCATAGCGTGCATGTTCCACCTGGACTTGTCTGGACTTTGTGGACCCACCGGCAGGGCGCTCGAGAACAGGGTAGAAGGGACATTCGAAATGGCCAAGCGACAAGCTCAGCATACTTGTGCATGTGTGCGGGTGCAGACTTGTGTCATGTTGCCTTTCTGGCGGGAATCCATGAGGCCATAAATCAGTTGAAAAATAATGACATCACCAGCAAGGACGTGCCGCTTGAGACAGTTGCAGTTCGGTGGAGATTCCTTGGTTCCATTCGCTTGCGAACATGCGAAACATCCCTGCGCATGCGGCCAGGAACCGCCCTGGAATGATGTCACCACTGTCATGATGCGAAACTTACCGAACAAGCTGGGCGCTGACTCTCCTGTTCGAGTTGCGGTGCCAGTACATTTATAGGATCCTCGCCGAGGTACAGACAGCAGATGCTATTGGATGAACTGGCCGACGCCGGTTTCCGTGCGCAGGCACCGCCGCCTTGCAAGCGAGTTGGACACACTCGCTGCTCTCTGTGTGTGTAAGACCGATTTCGACTTTTTTTACCTCCCCATGGATCACAGCCCCTTGGCACAAGCATCGGTGAAAGCTGAGAGAACTTCAAGTCAGCACTCAGCATTGCCGTTGTGAGGTAATGCTGCAAATTTGGGCTACTGTTGGAAGCTCAGATCGGTGCATGAGCCTCGCAATCCTTATGTTTTCTCGGCTCAGGTTTCATCAATTTTACGGAGCCTGCTTTAGCCAATGCCTTCGCGGCAGCGTTCCAAGGTATGCAACTTAGAGGTCCTCGCAGGGGTGCTCGCAGGTGTCTTAACAGGGAGAGCTCGGACTTGCTGAGGCAAAAAGATGCGTCGCTTCAACTCGCACAAGACCGTTGTTGTTGCTGTCTTACCTGCCCCGGCGTGTGTGAAACACGTATCAGCCTTCTTGACAGACCTGCCATGCACACTCAGGTCATGCCTGCGTCAATCCAGGGCTACGAGAGAAACTACAAGCACCTTGGGCTTTCTGTACTCCTGGAGAGACTCGAGACACTGGAAGTGGTGGGCGTTTTTTTTTTTTTTGCATGGCATGGGTTTATAAAAAAAGAGAGGTATTACTCGTCCACCAGGGTGGCGCAAGCAGAGGAGAGCTTGTTTTCTCAGAGGCGGCTCCCAAAAAAAACAAACGCCTCTCGCAGGATCCAGCTTACAGGCCTCTGTTTCTCAAGAACCTCGACATCGACTTGCAGCAGGACAAGCGAGGGTGACAGTTCAACATGATGGCTTTGAGGATGTTTTGGGGTACTGCCGTACACGCCAACAGTGTTGAGCGCGAGCCTGGTTCTCTTCAACTTGTCCGAATTCAGGACAGGAAAGGTTCTGGTCGAGGACAGAGCTCTCGCCATCTCCGTCGCATGCACCTTTTCTTGCTTGTCTACTTCCTGTTCAGGCAAAGGCTTCGACAAAGGCAAGGGCAAGAAGGGTTCGAAGGACAAGGCTCCAAAGATGTTGGAATCATTGGCAGAACAGGCCTTACTAATTGGACCCAAAACCATAGTCGCTATCGTGTGCCAGGGTGGTGGCAAGGGATCCCAGGATGGCAAAGGAGTGGAGGCTGGGAAGCCCCCTTCTCGATTTTCTATGAGATGCTTTCGACAGCTACGTGGCTTTTAAATACACAGCTGCAGATCGGTGCAGGCGTTTTCGCGTTTGGCATTCATGGGCTTGGACGATTCGAACGCTCAGCAGGCCTTTCAAATTGCTCGTGTTTTTTGTTTGCGGTGAGGGGCTTCCTTACATGTGCAGGGCGTGCAGGGCGACTGGACTCCGATGGAGCAGATACCCTGGCAGCCGGGAACCTGCCAGTGAGAAAGCTTTCTCTCTTCTGTGTCACGTCCACAACTGAGGCAAGCTCCATACCCGGCGTCAGGATGCAGCGGGCGCAGTGGCTCCACGGTCACCTGCGCTGAGCTCAACTGCAGAGTCGCTGAGACATGTCAATTGCAAACTTGCGATGCTTTCCACCGCTACCAGTAGCAGCTGGAACACTCCTCGAAGAGCAAGAAGCAGGGGTGTGCCTTCGCGGGACCAGCTCGAAGCGTAGGAGCCAGCATGTGGAGGGGTCTCGCACCAGAAAGTCCAAGGGTCAGCTCGGAAGGGTCCGAGCGGACGGGCATAGCATGGCATAGCGGCAAAGCTCCGTTTCTTCGAGGTCCCAACTGTGGCAACACGTGCAGCGCCGACCACAGGCCGCTCAACTCTGAGAGCTCTTGGCAGCTTCTGGCCCCTCATGGCTCTCCGCCTTTGCAGGTTCTGCTCGGCCTGTGGCCATCCGATCTCGGCCAGGACCCCGCAGCGTAACTCCGTAAGTTCTGGGCAGCATGCATGCGATTCTCGCACTGAGGCCGGGAAGAACGCAGGCTGGGATTGTCCTTTGAAGCTGGTGCAGAACCGCAACACAACTGTGTGCAGGCGGCTCTGCGAATCCTATGCCGTCAATGCCCGCGAAAGGGGGCCCGAGCGCAGGACGGCGACGGCGCATCTAAGCAGCACTCACTGACTACACACTCTGGCGAGACAGCTCCATGCATCCACGTTGACATGTGACTTCAGTCGACATGCCAAAAATAACTTTGTCGCACTTCACTCTTGGCGCCACGGGCTACCATGTGCTACAACAAGAGGACCCCTGATGATGAACGGCATTCCCATGGGTTGTGGCCCTGTTTGGGGCTGCGGTGGCTGCGGCGGCTGCGGCGGCTGCGGTGGCTGCGGCGGGGCATGTGTTGACACGCTTCAGACGTCGGCCTTTGCATCAACTCACGCTTTAGCATAACATTCTCGGTGTTGCACATGGTTGGAGGCCCCGGCGGCTGTGGCGGCTGCGCAGGAGGCTGTGTAGGACCGTGCGGTGGCAACCTTAGCCGGAAGCTCAGCTTGATGAAGCAGCTATCGTTGCACCGGCAACAGGGCTAAGTTGCGAGCCCGGCTCAGATGCGATGAACATGCGAGCTGACGCTCCGACGTTCATGCCCAACATGCAGGAGGATTCGATTGAACTGGAGCATTCTCTGGGCTAGATACACCGATTTGGGTTCAAGCCTTTGGATGCGAAGGAGCCTGACAGCAGCCCCAATCGGCAAATGCCCTCTGGTTCCCACCAGGTTCCGCTAAGCAGGGTCCCAGCTTGCATGTCATAAGATTGCAAGCGCCGGGCAAGAGGGCCGATTCGCCTTAGGAAGCTGAAGTTGTTAGACCCTGCCAGCTTGCGGACCCGGTCAGCAACGAGTTGGATGTCATGCGAGGACGCCGGGAGCTTACCGTATACCAACCCCATGGATTGTGAGAAGCAATGGCGTTCCCGTTGCCGAGGTCTCATGCTGATCGCTGCTCTGAAGGCCGGGCACCGGGGCCCGCCCGCAGCATCCCGCAGCAGCCTGTGATGTTCTTGCCAGAGCCAGGACATCGAACAGAGGGATTCAGATGGTCCGCCAGAAAAAGATGCTGCGATCCAAGTCCTGCGACTCTGAGCCCCTGAGTCCCTGAGCCTTCCGCTCTCGCCTCCCGAGGCCTGGTTAGCGTAACCGTCAGGCCGGTTCCTCAGGACTTCCGCTCTTCTTCACTTCTCCGGCCTCTTGAAACTCGAAGATGAAGATGCCAAGCTGCATTAAGCTGCTAAGCTGCTGCTGTTCCTGGCGAGGCGGCGCTCGCCTCTTCGTCAGCAGCGGTCCGGCCCTCGGGCCATTCGAGTGGCCTCTCTGGCCCTCCACGGACGCCTTGTCGCCACCTGCCCTCTGAGGCAAGGAAAAAGTCCTTACCCGAACCTCGCTGGCGTCTGGAGCTCAGGCTTCGCAGGTCAGATCTTAGGGAATCTTGGGGACCTGGGGTCCTTCAAGTGCTCGCGCTGCACACTTCCGAACTTCCGAGGCCGAAGGCGTGGCGACGCTATCGAACCCAAACTTGCACGTTCTGGAGCGGAGCGGATGCATGGTATATTGGATGCATTCAACCTCTGTACTTTAAAGCGCATGCCGCATCCTGGGGCACGCTCCAGCTGAAAGCCTTTGGGTACTACGCAGACCTGAACAGCTTGAAAAGTCATGTGGATGGTGTTGCATGTCCATCTAGCGCAAAACTTGGAGCTTTCAGCATGGTGCTTGAAGCTTGGCAGACCGCCGTGGCACAGGACGTCGTCAAATGCGAACATCAGTAAACTGACCAAGCGTGCCGAAGCAAGCGGCACCGTGGTTCTGCCAGGCGGTGCTCCTCTGCGTGCATTTTCAAGAGGGCGTAGGCTGGTAGAGTGTTTGCATCTCCGTTGCGGAGCAACAGAGCAAGTTCTCGATACCAGCAGGTTTCTGTTCTTTCTTGCGCTTTCGGGTCGGGCTTTGCCCTGGACTGCCAGAGATCCCAGGTCAATCGACAGCATTAAGCTTCGAGTATCTTTGAGTGGCAGCTTCAGAGAGTAAAGCTGGCAGCACAGGCTAAGTTGAACACTGTTACAGATTTCCGTGTCTCAGTTCTGTGCTGGTCGATCTGCTCGCCTCAGTGGCATCGCAGCTATCACATCGGAAGAAATTTCGCGAGCTGGTTTTACAGGGCATTCGACCAGCTTGCCAGAGCATGCAGCGGTGATTTCTCCACATTCTCCAACCAGTGCGGCGAACTGTTCGTGTTTCCGCCTCCTGTTGGGAAATGGCTTTCGAATCTCAACCAGAAGCCCTCTAGGCTGCTGCAAAGGGTCCGCAGTTTGGCAGTATACGCCTCTAGTGGCCCTAGCGCATCTTGTCATGTCTTGTCCCCGGCTAAGCTCTCCACCCTGAATATCGCACTTCCACTGCCGCCTCCGCGGCTGCCTGGGCTCCAGCGCTGGAAGTGGCGCCGGTTCGAAGGCCAAGTAGGCACCCCTCAGCGGAGAAGTTTGAAGGTCTCCATGCCGCGACTTTGCATTGAGCCGAGCGAGATTTTTTGCAGCTTTGCACGTGCAAAGTTGTTAAACGCAGTCTCTCATGACACCATAGGCCATGACGTGAATTGCCATTCTCAACTCAAGCAGACGTCGCGAAGGGGCGCCACAAAGGCTCTTTGAGCTTCGCCCAACAATTTGAACGAGAAGCACGTGACAGGGTCGAAGATTGCCGGGAGCAGGGTGGCAGCGTTTTTTGCCTCCTGACTCCAAGCCACTTAAGACTGAGTCTTCAAAACGGCATTTGTGCTAAGATACAGCCAGCCTTTTTGTGGGCAGTGTGGCCGTGGTCACTTTAATAAGCGTGTCTTTTTGCTAAACGATGCAGGTGCTAGGACCAATAGGATAGAAGTCAGTCAAGGCCTGGACCTTTGTGATCTACGGGGTAAGGCCGATTTGCTGCCTCACATTCGCCAGGCCCAAAGCGAGGCCCTGACTCAATGGTAATACTCCCTCAGTGCCTCAGTGTGGCTGCGCATGCTAGCCAGCCAGAGGACCACTCCATCTCGAGCAGAATTTGGATTTGGCAAAATGATGTCCCTGCTCCGGCTTTCCAAGTCAAGTCAAGTGACTTAATAGTAGTGAAAGGCCACACACTTCGGTTGATGTAAACTTTGAGAGCTGTGTGAGTCCACTTGGATGATGCTCGTAGCCTTTGGTTCACTTCTGCTCGGGCTGCGCCAATGCCGCCTTCCGGCCCACGTGTCCCGCACGGGCCCTTGTAAGACGTCAGGTGGTTGTGGGCCTTCGAAAAGGAGAGAAGCGTCTCCTATTTGGCTTCTGAGGCCGAAAGGGTCTCGAGAACTAAGACCACCAGGAGACCGCCACCGGGCGCGTGGAGGTTTTGGGAGCACTGAGCCCCCGCCACCTGTGGCGCCGTCGGAAGGAGAGCCTCGGCCGCTGCAGCGGGTGTCACAGGTACAAAACCAAGCAGACGAGGTGGGGGCGGGTCTCTGGACTCTAGAGAGCCTGTTTGCTTCCTGGATTCCTGTTGAACCCTCGAGGTGAAGAGGCTGCAGAAGCAAGCGGGTGATTTAGTGCGCAGCGATGGCCCGTGTTGATCTTGGGAAGGCTATGGCGTATCTCCCCTCAGCAGGTTGCGGTGTCCTGCGCACGCCAGGTAGCCATGATCTGAGAGGGGCAATACACCTGCCGAGTGCTTACGCGGATTTGCGGCCATCTTATGGTCGCCTGTCTGAGGGTGCCGCCGGTTCATTGCTTCGGTGTCATCAGCCAGCGATGCACAGCTTGCAAGTGTGAGGTTCGAAGAATGTAAGGCGGAGATTAACGATGCTTTGGATGGCCTGCCCAAGGTAGTCTGCGAGCTAGCCGTGTCTGTTTCACTCACTGTCTTGCAGCCAGGACGACCTTTGCTATTCCAGTCTTACCGAGACCAAGAGGAGCGTCGAAGACAAGATTTCCAAGTGCAAGTCTCCATCTCAGCTGACCCACGCTGCTGCAGTAGCACAGACAATAGGTAGTTTTTGGCTTCTTCAGGCAATTCCTGCCGTTCGAGTATTTCCTCACGGCCCCAAAGTGAAGGCTCCCTTGACTGCAACTTGCTTCGCAGCAGGCTGCTCCTTCCCTGACAGGAGCTCTTGAGTCGTGAGCCGGCTTTGCTGCGATGCTTTGAAAACGCGAAGCACGTAGAGACGTAGAGCACCTGGCAGGCGCTTCAATGTGAAACTGTGAGTAGCCTCTTCCAAGCCCACATTAGTATGACTGGCAAAGATCGGTGCTTGCGATACACCGCGAGGGCCGTACGGGATCTCGATGCTCGCAGTGGAAAATGCAATTCATACATGTCATATTGAAACCTGCTGAGCTTTCGGTGTGAGCTCCCTGCAGATCAAAATCTGCGGCATTCAAAGTCTCTGATGCGTTTGTGACCTGAGGGCTCTTCAGCTTCCATGCGAGAGGCAGAGCATCATAGCATCAGCCAGCTGATGCTCGACTCGCAATGCAAGGCCCTGCAGCAAAGAAGGATGGCGAGCCTGCATCAGTGCTGCTGGAACGCTCGTACCTGCGACGACGATAGAATGCGTTGTATCTATGTTCCATGTCCTCTGCGCTCCCCAGTCCAATCGTCCTATGCATGTGATGACCCTCGCTTTCCTTGAAGTCTGTCTCGCACGACTGAGGCACAAATTGAGTCAGCAAGTGGTTGTCCTGGAAGCAGAAAATGTCGAGCTCCAGGATTTAAACCGATCCTTGGAGAAAGCCAGCAAGGAAGGGCGACAGAGGATTCAACAGTTGGAGCTCGAGTGCCAGAAGCTTCGAGACTCTACGGTCTTCATACATCAAGAGAAGGAAGGGACCGTTCTCCAAGCTCGTGAGGCTGTGCAGTCCAAGCAAGCCGAGCTGATGATCGCACAGAAAAAGGTCTCTGATGCCGAAAAGCGCCTGGAGACCTTTGCCTCCGAGAACCGTCGCTTGAACTCCATTGCAGAGAAGCTTCAAGCTGAGCGGTCCCAGCTGCAACATCAACTCCTCGGCTTCGAGGCCTCAACGAAGGCCTTGCACGTGGAGCTCCAGCAGCGCGCCGCAGCGGAGGGGAAGTCCGTGAACACCTGCAAGGACTTCAGCCAGCGCTTGGAGGCGATGCGCCTTCAAAACACGCAGCTGGCAGATCTGGCAGGCCCGCCTTGCCAGCCTTTCTTACGAAATCGGCGTTGCCCCAACTGACATATTGGTAGCAACTTAAGGAAGACAGAATTCAATCTTGCCTTTCAGGGCGAACTACACTCGCGGGGATATGCCCTCGTGCTGGGGGTTTTAGGCTGTTCAGGGCTTCGGATCTGTTGCTGAATTCAGTGGCGCAGGGGCCGTCGGGGAGCCGTTCTGCTTTCGACTGCGTGAGCCTTTCTCGAGGAACCTGATGGGAGGTTTCGATGCTGTGGTGAGAGGCAATGACACGTCTGGCTGAAAACTGCGAACGAATTCCGATGGATCCTAAATTCCTAAATACCGCCCGCCTGATTTTTGAAACTGGTCCCAAAAACGGTTAGCTCTCGAGTGGCGACTGAATATTGAGTGTGGCTGCTGGCCTTCTACAGGTGTTTATGTGGTCCGGTCGACTGCTCCTCTTGGTGCGTTGTCTGGGCTGATGAAGCTGTGACGCTTGGGGCCAATACAGAAGTGGTGAGCATGGGATGAAAACGGAAGTGTCGGATCGCTGCTCGTGCGCACAGCCGAAGTTCCTCGAGGTTTCCCAATCGCCCAAGTGTTGTCCGAAGGCTTGCACCACCTTGAGATGGCCCAGCTCACCCAGACGCGCGAGGAGCTGCGAAGCTGGCGCCAGCGCTCTGAAGACCTGGCAGCAGAGCTTGAGCAAGTGCGTCAAAACGGCGCCTGGCTGAGGGATCGCCTGGCCGCCTCGGATGCGGCCTGCAGCCAGTTGAAAGCAGAAGCAGCGCGCTGGCGCTACGCAGAAAAAGCGGCAGCGGCCAATGGCCCGAGGTGCATCCCGCTTTGGTACGTACTCGTAGCACCACATAAAACATCATAGCATATCATAGCGACACTCCCATGCCTTACAGACGTTGCCAGGTTGACAGAGGCGGTGCAGCGCGAGGCAGACCATGCCTGCAGTCTGCCTGCGGTGTTCTCTTCAGTCCGAGATCTGCTCAGAGCGCTGTGGCCCAGAGCCTGCGCGAGCGGGTGGCGGAGTTGGAGGTCCCGGGCTCGTAGAAAAGCATTGACAGCGGAGTCTTGCGGAGTCTTGCGGATTCGTGCAGGATCAGGTCATCAAGTCTCAGAGGGCCCAGATGGCCTTGGAGGCGTGAGAAAACGTTGCAGACTTCTCACCAGCCCAGGGCCTATGCTTATAGACCTTGGGATCCGTAGCAGTTGTAGTTGCAGAAGGCCTGTGGCTCGGAGCCTGTCTCTGTCTTTGCCGCAGGCCGAGCGTGAGATCCTGCGCTCGCAGCTGGTTGCAGCCCAGTCCGAGGCCAAGCTGCACGTGCGGCCCTCGGAGCGGAAAATCCTCCCACCCGGCCCGCACCCGGCCGGCCCGTCCCAAGCTTTGAGCAAGGCCGACGCAGCTTCGCGGCTGGCCGGAGAGAAGTCGCAGGCTTTGGGCTGACGCCCGTCCGCGATAGCGTGTGATAGCGCTTGCCTCTGTTAGGCTGAGCAGCTTGCAAAGCTTCATCTTGCCCAGAAGCAGGAGGAGGGAGCTTAGGGAGATTGTGCAGACGCACAAAGCGAATTCACCTTCAATTCACCATTCCGGACCCTTCTCAGGCGGAGCGAAGACGCGGCATATTGGAAAATGACCATCTTCCAAAGCTGATTGCCCGACAGCAGGCATGGTACCAAAATCGCAATGCACACGGAGCGCTCCGTAAATTCTCTGCCTGGAGGCTGCGACCTCGGATGTGGGTGAACTGCGCACTCGCATCTCGCAGCTCGAAGCCGAGAAGTCGCTTCTGACGGGCCAGCTCTCGGGATCGGAGGCACATGTCAATGGGCGTTTTCGCCATCGATGGCGTATTTTTGGGGCTGCGGCTGTCATGGCTGCGATGGGATGCCAGGTGCTTGTGGCAGGCCTTCGCGCGGAGTGTGCCAATGCAAACGCTCGCCGAAGCCACAGAATTCAGTGCGATGTGTGTCCAGACCATAGGACCAGCGACTGAAACCATTCTGTGCTGAAGGCCTGATGCAACAGCGGCAGCACTACGAGAATCCACGCCGCGGAGTCCCGCCAAGGGAGCGCACCACTCGGCCAGAGAGTGATCGCCCCGTGTACTAGTGGTGATGGAAGTGGTGTCTGACCTGGCGCTGCCTCCAAGCTGATCACATCCGGCTCCAAGTGCTAGCCCACAAGTGCACGCACGTAATATGAAAGCGGGAGGTAATGAGACGGGTTGGTTCCAAGTGTTACCCATTTTTCCGTTTTCCAGAATGCTAGCTACATGCTCCACAACTCGGGCACTGACCTGCCTTGCGCAGAGACTCGACATGTTGTCGAAATGTTTGGGCTGTCATGGGGGGTTGGTGGAAGGAATGAACTGGGAACTGTTTGTGATAGTCATTAGCTTCCGAATAGTCAAAGAAGATAGGACATGCAGTGGCTCCAGACTGAGGACCATTGTGTTTCGCCCGAGTGGAGCTGTTCATGCCCGATTCTTAGCTCTGGCTCTTCAAGCTCAGTTCCATCGCAGGACCTCTGTTCGCAATGTCTCTGCTGCCGAAAGGACCTGGAACAGAGCTTCCTGGATCTGGGGGGCGGTGAGCAAAAAGCAGCTTCCGCGTCCGCGCACTTCCGTTGCTTATGATCCAGGCGCTGTGTCCACTCCCAATAAGCTGCAATTTTCAGATCATTTCAGGGTAAGAAATCTCGAGGCAAGCCACCCGTAGGAGAGATCCGAGACAGCAAGTCCCATTCACTATTCCGCTGCAAGGTGTGGCAGCCAGGCCCTAGGCCCCTAAAAAGATCCAAGACACAGTCCAGGCTGCAGTTCGGCAAGGCTGCAGGATGTGACAGCTTGCCACTTACATAGTTCGAAGTCTTCATTCCTTCCTTGAACCGACAGTGTGGGTTCAAGCGCACCTCACGGTAGATAGATTGATAGGCAAAGGCCTGGTGGGTGCCAGGGCCAGGGTAAGCCTATAGTAGATCACGAGCCAGTGTGCTTCAGGCAAAATGCCCATTATCGGCTACCTGCAGGCCAGGTCTGCAAATGACTCGTGCACAGCAACAGAGCAGCTTGGCCTGGTGTGCACAGGCCCTCCAGTCCGCAGTCTCCGGGAATGCATTTTCTGGTCAGTCTGCTGTGCAGCGGTCGGAAAGTGTGGATGGAGCGGCGGGGTGTAGAAGAGCCGAAAAAATTTGTGCGGCGGGTATGCAAGTGCAGTACGGGTCTTGTGAAAGTTGCCTGGCAAGGAGCATACTCTTTTGGAGCACGCAGGCGTCTTGGCCCGTCCATTTCGGAAGGCCTTTCCCCCTAAACGTTGTGAATGGCCCGACAGGCGAACGAGCACCGGTCTGCTGAACGTGCGACCCGGTCGCAGGGCCTCCTTGCAGAGTGCACATCCGTGTTGCCAGAGCCAGTTGAAACGAAGTAAGGAGCGACACAGATCTCAAAGGCTCAATGGATGAGTCTGAGGATGCCGCTTGCCATGAATGGCTGCACCATATGCTGCTTGCCAGAGACTGGAAGCCAAGGAGCTGGACAGCCAAAAGCCTGGACCCAGTTTCAAGATCGGCTGCCGTCGCAAGGCGTGATCAGTGAGGAGTGTGCTTGCGGGATGCACTTGGTATGAGATGCCTTCACGAGTGCCGTGGATCTACAGTTTGCCGTCGCATCATGCAGGGGTTCTGATCGACAACACGCTGGAGCTGGCTGGCTGCTCAGAAGACTCGATGCTGATAAGGCCCGCATCACACGCATGTTGAGACGAAAAAGAGTTTTCTGTCAAAACATTGACTTGAGGCTCAACAGTTCTTCTCGTGAAGGTGCAACCATTCAGTTATCATGTAGCAGCTGGGCACAGCAATCATCGCCCGAGCGCTCATTTACTAGCGCGAAGCTCCGGAAAGGGTTAGCAGTCGTGATGGTAGTGGTGGTACTTATTTTTGCTATTATTATTGTTAGTAGTAGGAGTAGGAGTAGAAGTAGTAGTAGCAGTAGTGCAGTGGTAGTGGTAGTGGCCATAGAGCAGTAGTGTCAGTAGTGGCAATAGTGTTTTAATGGTCGTCGTCGTCGTCGTAGTCGCAGGATGTTGTAACATTGTAGGCGTAGGCGTAGTCGTCGTGGTGGTAGTGGTGATACTATGTAGAGTGTAGCAGTGGCAGCAGCATCAGCAGCAGTGGTTGTAGTAGCAGCAGCCGGAGCAGCAGCTGTGCTAATGCTAGTTCAAGTAGTAGGGCTGTAGCACTGTATAGGTACTATAGCAGTAGCACTAGCAGCAGCAGTGTTGCCCACAACCGTCACGCAATAGTCGCATTTTCACATCCCTGAAAGTATGCTTACGAGGGCTAGCTTTTGACAAACAAAATGGTGATGGTGATGACGACTACGAAGACGATGTTGATGCTCATCAGATTTCTTCCTTCTCCGCTTCCTCCTCCTCCTCCTCACCATTGTCCTCGTCATATATATCCTCCCCATCGTCTTCACCGCATCCCCATGATCGACCTTCGTAAGCTCGTGCGACTCCTCCATGGCAACTACAAGGCTGACAGACTGCAGGAAGCATATCCGTATCACTGCCATGAATCCTAAACATGATATATCAGACTTCTGCTCTACAGCAATTCTCAAGTGTTTCTAGGAAAAGAAACGGCAAACGCACGGAGTGTGATGGCGATGATGAACAGTGTGCCAGTGACAGTTAGGGCGGTGACCACTGTTATGACAACGCCACGAACTGCTTCTACATTCGAAAAGATGATCCTGCTGCTGATTATGATAATGCCGAAGCTGCTGTTGCTGCTGATGGTGATGACGGTGATGATGACGATGACGGCGACGAAGATGATGATGATGATGATGATGATGATGATGATGATGTCGTAGATGATGAGACGACAATGCCTGATGCAGAGGGGCATTGCAGGGAGTTGCAGCATGCTGTGCGATGATCCTTGTGCTGATTATCGCGTAATTGGTCGTCTTAATGAGCTCATTCGTAGTAGTCTGAGACCGTTCATAGGACGTTACAGCTACAGTGGGGTACGAACGACTTTTGAGCAGGCGCGCTCCTTGCCATTGTGTATAGCCGCTGTCAATCTTCCGGCCGAGTCGCGACAAGGGCAGGATGCACATCACGGATTGTCCAATCTCTCGCTAGATATTTGCCATATCAGCTGTGCCTGTGTAAGAAGCTTTTCTGAGCAGCTCTACTCAGACCATCCGGCCTTTGCGGACCCGGCCATGGACACGTTCAGTTAGGTTCAGGCCTTTCGACAAAGGCAGCCACGCTTGGCACAGGGAGACAGCAGTCCTTGTGACTGATCGAAGCTTTGAAAGGCTGAGCTGTCAACCGTGAGTTCTTTGACTCTCACGAACAGACAGGGCCTTGAGGTGGAGCCATTTGCGGGGTCCAAGACAGAATCGGCGCTGCATGCTAAGGTAAGCAGCATGTACCGTTGTTGAAACAAGCCGATCCGTTCTTAGAGCTGTATATTGAAAAACTCTGCAAAGGGCCCATTTCGGTCCTTTTTTGGCTGCCTGCGCACAGGCCTGGAGGTGTGACTTTCAATGCACGCGAGACCCTCGGGGCGCGAATCCAGGCGGATTTTGTGCAGCGGGGCGTGCTCCGTCGATGCACCTCCGGCTCCTGTTAGCGCTCGCGGTTGACGACAAAAACCGAGTTGCTGCAAGACGACGAGGTGTGCATTGAAGTGGTTGTTGCAGCAGTTGCCCTATGCCATTGAGAGCAGACTTGGGGGTAAGTACTGTTTCTGGCTTCTGGATGGCTATGTAAGTGGATGGCCTTGTCATGAGGGGGCTAGTCTGTAAGTCTGTAAGACGATGTGCTTGGTTGCAGGGCTCGAGAGTAAGTTATGCCAGGTTGGGGGCCACGGGCATGCTCAAAGAACATGTCACACATGTCAAGTTTAAAGCCTTTAAGTTTCTTTCAGATAGCATTTCTGTTCACACAAAGCACCATAGACGACGATGCACAATTGGAGAGGCTTGATCACGTGCTGGCGGAGTAGCACGGCACTTTCTGATACCAAGCTTTATTCTGGACTGAAGTGCCATATGCTTTTTCAACAGTAACATCTCCATCTTCACGACTCCAGAGAGATGTTTCTTGCCCTGCACCGCCTAGGACATACCGGAGCAGTCCCGCTCAAATCTTGAGGGGGGAGTGTAGCTGCAATTTCTCGTTTGTTGTACTTGTAGCAGTCTACAGGCAGGTTGACCGTTATGACATGGCAAGGTTTTGGAATGCAACAGATAGCTGCTTTTTGCATTTGCAAGGGGGAGCACGCTTGGGCACTTGCAGGGGTTCCACTTTCAGAGGTTCCAGCTCTGCAATGCTCACGAGTTTGTCGCACGCGAAGACGCTGGAAGATGGATTCGGTGATTGCTAAAGCTTTCGCAGCCTTTGAAGGGCGGCGTTTGGCCGAACTCCTGTCAGAAGGCGTTGAGAATGAGGACGCGCAGGTCGTTGTCCTCCAACAGTGGGAGGAAATGGATGAAACCGACCGTTCGAGATGGGCTTCTGATCTCGAGGTGGATGCAGAGGCTCCAGAAGTGCCCGCACCGCTGCGAGTCGAGCCTGTCGAGCCTGTCAAAACACCAACGCCTTCAAGAGCTCGAAGGAAAAGGCCAGCGCCAGCGTCACAAGAGAACTGTTCAGCTCAAGCCGGGGAGAGCAGAGTGAGCAAGGCTCCGAAACCGGAGGACCACAAGGATTACAATCACGATCCACGGATTTGCGTCGCTCCTCGCAGTCTGCAGCCTGCTGGTGATTGGATTTGTCCAGCGCAGGTCCTGGAGCCATCGGAGGAACCAGATGTGGGCATGAAAGACTTGCATGAGCAGGAGGATGGTTCACAAGGGTGTGGACGTGGAGACAAAGAGGACGAGTCGGAGAGGCGACAGCATGCCTTTCGCACGTCTCAAGTAGTTCAAGTGGGTGGGAAGCATCCTGATTGGCTGACGGAGCCGGCAGCCGTGGCAGAGATATCGCTTCCAAGACTATCATCCGATGAGTTGGTGTTCCTTCCCAGGTCCGTGGCCGAGGAAGGGCGCTTGAGTTCGGTGCAAATGGAAAGTGTTGCATATGCGGCTCGCCGCTTTCGCTCTTACTTGCCATCCGGGGCTCGTGCTGGGTACTATTTGGGTGATGGCACTGGCTGTGGAAAGGGCCGCATAATCGCCGCTCTTATCTGGCACCTCTGGAACAGTGGTGCGAAACGACATGTATGGTTGAGCTAGCACCTCAGTTTTGGCTTTGTAGGGTCCGAGTCGCGAACATGATTGTGAATTCGAAATGAGGTGCCAGCCGTGACCTCCTGGAGGATGCAACGAGAGATTTTCGAGACCTTGGAGCAGCAGTGCCTTTGTGCAGCTTGTCGTCTATGGGTTATGGACCTCTTTCGGGTCATGGTCTGGATGCCGACGGCAACGGGGTCATCTTCGTCAGCTACCAGCTCCTCGTTGCTTGCAAAGGCAGCGCATCAGGTGTGCCCACGCCGGAGACCTCGCGGCTTGGCCAGCTCGTCGATTGGCTTCGACGTGGCAAGGGCGGTGCATGTGGCCTCATTGCCCTCGACGAGGCTCATCGGACGAAGAACGTGGGCACGGAGACCCAGGCGGGCTCCAAGTCCGGGCTCTCGGCGCTGGAGCTGCAGCGCGCCTGCCCTGGGGCTGCGGTGCTCTATGCCAGTGCCACTGGAGCCACGGAGCTGCGCCTTGGCTGGACACCGAAGGTAGCAGAGCGGAGCAAAATTCAAGAAGCACAGTACAAGAAAGGGGCAGTCGATGGTGCAATGGCGTGCTTCACATTTGCTTGCGGTGGTGTCCTTAATGATCAACGCCAGTTTCAAAATCCTGCGCAAAGAGGCCCTAAGCCCATAAATCCCTTGGTGCGGCTAAGACTTCTTCGGGTCCGGAAGATGGTCAACTTTAGGTACTTTAGGTTGCCACTGCTAGCACAGACCGCAGATCTACAATGATCAGACCAGTGTTGTTTGTACAGGTGTTTGTCCTTCGTTGGGTCGTTCTGAAACGCTGAGATGATGAGCGGCATGTCCGAAAGCACCTGAACTCCGTCACAACCTTGGGGGCTACTGGGCCCTGGGGCTCAGAACGTAACAGACTGATTGATAACAGACTCAGTCATCTCATTCGAGGCAAGAAGCAATACCTGCCCAGGCGACACCTGGGATACTTGGAACGTCTTGGTTTGTGGGGCAAAGGTCGTCCTCACAAAACTTTCGAGGAGTTGCGCTTTGCCGTAGAAGGAGGCGGTCTGGCGGCCATGGAGTTGCTTGCAATGACCATGCGCGCGGAAGGCATGTTGTCTTGCCGCTCACTTTCCTTCAAGGGCGCCTCCTTTCGCTTGGTGCCTGTTTCCTTGGGGACAGAGGAAGAAGCACCCGTTTACGTGGGCTGCTGTTTATTCTGGCAAGCAGCCTTCCGAATCATCGTACGTCTGCTGAAGGCACGTACGCGCGAGGTCAGACGGAAGAAGCTCAAGCATACCACCGAGCTAAAGGAGAACTCTGTGCACATGCGGAACTTTTGGAGTGCGCAGCAGCAGTTCTTCCGACAGCTCTTGATTTGCAGCAAGGTAGACGCAACAGTGAAACTTGCGGAAGCTGCACAGCTCAGGCCGAATATCGCCCAACCTAATCAGGACCTAATCCCTCCGCTCTCGCTCTCTCTCTCTCTCTCTCTCGCTCTGTGTTTCTTCATGCATAGAGAATGCTCAAAATGCCATAATGCCCTGGAAGGGGTGAGGCGGTGGTCATCGCTATGTGGTCGACGGGCGAGTCCGTCACGGAAGCCGTCGCCAACCGCGACGGTGACCGCAACGCTGCAGCTGCGGGTTTCGCATCGGCGCCGAAGGAGGTGTGGAGAATTGGACTTACACAGGCATCTGCGCTTCAAACAGTCCGACCCCAGCTGAGGTGGCCTTGCGAATGTTAAATGGTCTCCTCAGGACCGGGGCAGAAGAAATGACCGAGAGCTCTGCAAAGCTTATTGTTCAGGACGCTGGCTGAGGCAGTCGAGTCTGAGCCTTCCGCACTACAGGACTTGCGGCTATCTTTACTGCGATGGCCTTCTGTCAGTCTGCCCGTCTTGTAGGAGATCCAGAAGGCCGAGGCAGAGTTGGAGCGGCTCCTTGCCTCAGAAAGCCTTCCGGGTTGCGCCCAGGGAGCCGAGTTTGGGGACGTGGGCACTGCTGCCATCTGCTGCCATCGAGGCTACGGCTTCCTCCGAACCCTCTGGATGAGATTATGCGCAGGCTTGGCGGCCCTGCCAAGGCACTCTGGGACCCAGGCTTTGAAAGCCGGTTCAGGTGGTGTAGCTTTTGAAGTGGGCCAACTTCATGAGGGACATTGCGCAGAGTGGACGAGATAGTCTGCAGCTCGAGCTCTGCAGAAGACAGGAGCCGACGACGAGCACATCAAACGGGATCGACAAATCCCCAAAGTTCTCTCAAAACAAGCCCTGCAATGGCCCCGCAAGCGCCACGACTTGCTCATCCTGCTTGGCTCCGCAGGTTGCCGAGCTGACCGGGAGATCGCGCCGCCTGGTCTTCAACGAAGTCACCGGGGAGACGCGTTTCGAGGCCCCAGTCATTGCGTGATGCCTTTGTCTGCAGCCAACTCGAGCCAGGAGCGCGGCGACCGAGCCAACCTTGAGGAGACACCCGCATGTGTGACCTGTCTCCTGTGTCTCCTGTCGACCCTCGAGCCCAACAGCCCAAAGCTGGCGAAGGAGCTGCGAGCCTTTCAGCTGGGTGGCAAGCAGGTCGCCATTGTCACTGAGGTGCCGCCCAAGCCTCGGCTCTCGGCATTGCAAAAGGAGATGCCCTCAGGCAGCCAGCGCCGGCATTAGCCTGCACTGCGACAGGCCTCGCGGCAATCTCAAGTTCATCCATATGCGTGCAGATTTGCACTGCCTGTATTGCCAGCCCGCCGGGAGAGGTGAAGATAGCGCGAAGCGCGGCGTGCCAACACGTGGGAAGCCATCGACTATCAAACCTATAGCAAGCTTAGCGGCTTAGCAAACGAAAACATGGCAGACAAGCGCTCACCACAGCAGGATTTTCTCCCGGAACGAAAGGCATTTCGCTTTGCCCAGATATTCCCAAATATTCAGATCAAAATATGGGTTCGTGTGTGTAGGATCGATTGTGCAGCGAGAAATCACTTTCCGTGGATTTCTGGCCCTCTGCGAGACGAAACGATTTGAGAAGATGACAAAAATCCTTAAGCTGATCCTAAACTCCTATACCCTAAGCCCCGCCCTAATCGGGAAGAGCCAGGAGGGTATGTGCTTTGATTGTCTGCTTGGCTGTGATACAAACACTCAAGTGCCCAATCATGATGATCCATTTGGCTTTGGTTGTGTCATGCAAAGCCAAACCAAAAAGGCACCGAAGCCCTGAGAAAAGGCACGGAGGCCTCGAAAATCCTTTACGAAATTCGTCGACTTGTTTGCGCTCGTCGTTAGCTTCAGCACAAGGCCGGCATGTCGTCCGCGCTGAATTCTGCATTTATGTTTTGTTGACCACTGGACTCAGGGGCAAGCGCGGTGACCCAAGTATACCAACGAGTATCTTACCATGGCCAGGGCATGCAAGAAAAACCCAGCAAGATCTGCAGCTGTTTTCTGATCGCTGGACGGAGTTGGCTACGATAAGAGGTTCTGGTGAGATTGCAGCCCGAGCCCCTAAACTCAGCTCGTGAAGAGGCGATTGCCGGAAGAGGCGCAGAGGCCTGCCTGCTACAGTACCGCTATCCGCTATCGATACATCAGCTGGTCATGATGCAACCTGCCCAGGCCACGGTACATGATCTCCATTGAGATGCCCTGGGAGGTGAGGGTTATGCCAACTACAGTAGCCGTGTCGCCCTGGGGATGACATAGAGTGACACCAGTTGCCATGCATGGTCCCTCAGCAGTATATTGCTCAGACAACACAAAGCGCCAGGGCCAGAGAAGTGGGATATTGCATGCGTGCACATGCCTTTTCGGGTTGCGAGCTTACAACAGGGTCTGGGCAGCCGGTCACGCGAATAAGTTGCTCTTAGTCCTTCTGCTCGGTTTGCTTGCGCGGTGTTTGACCATGTCGAGCGCTGGAGCGGCTGCTTGGAAGCAACTGCGGCATTTCAGACATCGCGATCTGCTGCTGGGTACCTTGCTGCGGGCCTTTGAGCGGGACCAACTCGAGTGCCGAGTTCTGCAGTCGGATGCCTTCCGGCCTCATTTGACGCGCTGGGCCGAGCTGCTGCTGGTTGAGGGCACCTCTGGGGCTCATGTTAATCCCCACGAGGTTCCTGGCGAAATCCTCGAGGCAGCGCGGCAGGGCCCAGCAGAAGTGCGCTGGCTTCTCCGACGACTCTCTAGCAAAGACCCGCATCACCGCGGCTTGCCTCACTTTCCATCCACGCTCCTCCAAAGGGGGCCGCAGTACCCCTTCCGACCTTTTGAGCTCACCTACCTGCGCTCCGTGGTGGGAGGGATCCGTGGTACCGAGCTGGTCCAAAAGATGGAGCTTCCGGAACCCACGGAGGAGGCCAAGGCGAAGGCGGAGGAGATCCATCGGGGTGCTCCGGTTCGAGATCTGTGGGCCGAAGGCTGCTTGGACGATGACGACCACAGGGACCCTTCCAAGCCCCCGAGATGAGCCGACGAGCGGAGCGCCGTCGTGCCGTTTCACTGCTCGGACTCAGCCGGCATTGCAGAAAAGCAGCTCTCACTTGCATAGAAACCACGGGCAGAAGGCTGCCGTTTGTCGCCAAAGCCAGGCCGACAAGGCCATTCAGCAACTCGGGCGAGTTCACCGCAGCAACCAGCGGGTCACATCTCCAGCTGTCAGCCTTGATGCCAGAATCTCTCTCTCTCTCTCTCTCTCCCTCTCTCCCTCCCCCGCCCTCTCTGGACTGTTCTTGGTCAGGTTCCGCCCCGATTCGCCTTTGTGGTCACGCAGTTGGGCGGTGAGGCCCGCAGCTAGGCAACCGCCCGGTTTCTCATCAAAGCAGGCCCGCTAGTATTCTACTCCTGCATCAGGCCCCCAGATTGGCTGGTGTGATTCATACTCGTTCACTGCTCAAGCCATCCTTGATTATTGACTCTGGTACAAAGCTTCGATCCCGTTCAGTGCAGCCAGCCATGGGCTTTCTGCACCAGCGAGATGGCAAGTAGCATTTTCAGACGTGGCCGTCTTCTGGAGAACAGTTGGACACCGCGGATGGAAGCCAAGACAATCTGGCAGGCAAGAGCTCGACTTCCGACAATCGGATATTAACTGAGGGCCTCGGCATCCTTGACATCAATTCACTCGCGAGACCCAGACCTGGTCAGAAGTTTCCAGTCAACGGCGTTGGGCTCGTGTTCTCTAAGTTGCCGGCGGGGCGAGTGCGGCAAGGGGAGACGAGCACCTGCTGCGTCCGTGTCATTGGTCCGCAGCAAGTCTTAAGTGAAGTCTCAGCCGTCTCAGCTTCACGCGCTGTTGTCGTAACTTCTGGCCACACTGCTCGCTAAGGCAGGTTGCAGACCAGCAACCGGAGTTTCCTCAAGGCGAGCAGCACCCTGTTGCATCCTGCTGCCTGGCTTAAGCTCATTCTTTAGCTTCGAATGTCAAGCCTAAAGCATGCACGAGGTGTCAGGTTGTCATGTTGGCACTCACGTTGGCCTGGCCTGGCCTTTTGTCCCAATTCCTGCAGCCCGTTGCCCGCCATACTGTGGGCTGTTGTTTGCGCTTTTGCACGCTACGTCCGCAAGCGTGCTTCAGGGCCCAAGCATCCTTTAGCTGCAAGAGCGTGGTGAGGTTAGATTTCTTCCTGGAAGGATGGGGGGAGGACCTTCCACAGTCCAGGCGACTGTCGTGCCGGTGAACAGCAGTCCGGAGATGTTCCCCGGAAATCACCCGACAGACTTCTGCCTGTGTGCTAGCGGTGGAGGATCCCGTGCCATGAGCTTCACTTTGGGCGTGTACCGGGCCCTTTGGAACTTAAATGTCATACAGAAGCTGGATGGTATCAGCTCGGTCTCCGGCGGCACTTGGGCCAGTTCTGTCTTCATGTTCGGCAAGAATTTTAGGGGACAGAATATCGACACCTCGACGATGCTGGGAGGAATGACCAAACCTTCCTCCCTTACGCTTGAGGTGCTAAAGGCGGAGGCACCACCTCTTGCGTGGGGCCTCACGCAGGCAAGGAGTACGCAGCTGTTCATCAAAAACGCTGCGAAAGATGTTCTCAAACCTTTGGCAGACAAGGATGTGTGGACGAAGACCGTAGCAGACTTGGTCCTGGAGCCGTGGGGACTCGAGAGCATGGATGCGTGCATGGCATTGTCGGAAGACGACGTGTCAAGGATTCGTTCACAGAATCCACAGCTGGGTGACACGAAGTTCTGCACCTTGCGGAGCGATCGCCCGAGGCTATTTCTGATGAACGGGACGCTGCTGGCCCCTGCCGGCTTTCAGAGCAACGGTGATGCCATCGTGTCCTTTCAGGCAAGCCCGGACTTCTCCGGAAGCCCTTTCTACCCCATGGATCATATGGTGGACTATCGCCCGGATGTCACCTTCAATCCTGCTTCAGTCCTCTTCTGCTTCAGCAATTGCTGTCGCCAGGACCTGATGATCCCCGTGGGCGGCGGCCTTGTCGAAAGCTTTGCCTTCGGAGGCCAGGCCCCAGACACGATGCCGGATCATGCTGCCACAGCATCCGTGGGTCGCCCCGAGAGACCTCTTTCTCTGGCCGATGCCGTGGGCATCAGCTCCTATGCCCCGGCTTCAGCGCTGGCCAACGACCTCTTCACCCAACGGAAGTTTGGTGTGAAGAGGGAGTATTGGCCTGTTATTGGCGGTGTGATGTTGAGCCCCCTCCACAACATGGCCAGGGTCATCCCGGCGAGAGAGTACCAGTTCGGCGATGGCGGGAGCATTGACAACAGCGGGCTGCTTCCTCTCCTGCAGCGAAGTGCTAGAAATGTGATTTATATTGCCACGAGCTATCGAGCCTTGAGCACGACTTACAACTTCGAGACGGTCACACAGGAGGACTTCGACCCTGATGCAGCGTTGGTCGTCGATCAGTTGTTCAGTCTCTTCGGTTATGGCAGCTCCGCTTCCAGTAAGTCCCATCTTCGAATGATTGTGATGGCCCCATATTGTCCCCAACCCCAACAGCTTATAGGCTTTACTTGTAGACCTTGTGTTCGTGTTGTTGCTGAGGGGGGACTTTGCTCTTTAAGGCATGGACGACCAGGCCCAGGGCTTCTTCAATTCCCACAACCAGGTCTTCCAGAAAACATCGCTGCTGCCCTTGGTGCAAAAGATCGCTGGATTAAAACGGCAGGGGAAGCCGGCGGTCGTCAGAGAGACCCTGGAGGTGATCGAAGCTCAAAAGCCAAGTTCACAGTAGAAACAGACAAACAGACCAGAGCCATCAAGAGCCGTTTTTAGGTCGTACAAATTTTAAGCTTGTGTGTGTTGTGTGATCCCCAGCCATGTCGTGCATATAAAACAAGCCCTCGCTGCAGAGACACATCCGAAAGTGAGAAGCTCGAAGCCTTGCTTGAGGTGCTGCCGAACAAGTACTGGGGCATCCAGGGTGGCTACAACGTGACATTGGTCTTGATATATCTGGAGACGGTGCAGGACTTTCAGGACCAGCTGCCCGCAGAGACACGACAGGAAATTGCTAGAGGAAGTGAAGGTGCCTTTGCCAACTATCCAATCTACCGCACCAACAACAACAACGGCTTGAACACCTTGGATCTGACAGCCGCTCAAGTGAACCTCCTGGCAGCCCAGGCCGAATATTCAGTCATGCAGAACGAAGGCTTGATCAAGCAGTTCATGGCCGGTGCGAAGAAGTAGTGCCTGTCCGCCAAATGCGTCGTCGGCAGTACTGTGCAGGGCCCATGAAGGGATCTTGTAGGCAAGGCACGAGAGGACTCACAGACCTTGTAGCCAGGTGATTTGGCATTGTGCAGCATATCGCAGATCGTTTTGAGAGTGTCCTTCTCGCGCACAGACCCACAGATGGTTTATAGGCACGTTCAAAGTCAACGTCTCGGAGCCTGGGCGTGTTAATCGACCGACCCGAGCACAGCCCCAGGGGTGAGCAACCTTGAGCGATTCCGGCAACCGGAGTGCCGAGGGCGCCCTTTCCTGCCCGCGTCCTTTTGTTCTTGCATGAGGCTGGGTGGCGAAGCCTCCAATGCGGTAGATGTTGCACTTGGCATGGTGTGTAAAGTCATCGAGCCGAGTTCGAGAGCCAGGTTCAGAAAATTAACAGCTTTGATTCGCGAGGTGCCTACGACAGCATGAAGGCAGGTGTAATGTCCAACAATGTCAGAAAGACATGACGAACTCTGTGACACCCAGGCTGGCTGGCAGATATCCAAGATTGACTCCTTGGATTAGCCTGATGTGCAGGGCTATGTGTTCAAATCCACCGGCTTGCGGGAATCTGCGGTGTCAGGGCCATCTTCCGTTGACGCTTCCCAGCGCAACGCTGCATTGGGCTGTGATTTACCGAAACCGACAGTTTGGCCGGCTTATTGCACTCCAGAGGAGCGCTTCTTGTGAAGAACTCCTTGAGCCCAACGCCACCCTGCGGGACTATATTGTTCAACGCGCACTCTTGTCTTAGTCGAAGAAGGTATTCGCCCCATCCCTTCCTGTTCCTCAGTGTGAAGGGTTGAGGGCTGGTTCGAAGGATGTGATGTGTGTGGTAGTGCTTCATCATGCAATGCAAGCATAGGGCTGTATATTACTGTATATTGCAAAAGCAGCACACTTGCTCACTTGCCTTGGCCTCGGTGCTTCGTGAGGTCCTTGTGCCTCCTGCTACTGAGCTGCCACAGTCACCAAAGCCAACCCAAATCTGCCGTGCCAGCATTTTGCAATGTGTCACCAAGACTTCAAGAACTTCTAACAAGCTGCTGGCAGTCGAAAGCAATCGCTCTCCAGTGCGTTTCTCTTTCGCTCGTTCTGGGTCGGGAAATGCTCAAGTGATAGCTTTGGGGTTGTCGGAAGCCCTCCTTCAGTCCACTGGAGGCACCTGCTCAAACTAAGCTGGTCTGAGGGAGCTGACTTTGCTGTCGGCCTTATACTAGCTTAAAGCAGTATCTTCTCTGCTTTGGAAGTGCCCAGCTGGTGGGTTCCCGTCGTCAAGCACAGCCCTCAGCTGTAATTAGCACGTTCGCATAAGGAGTTTCATGAAGTATCTGCTGAGCCCGGCCCGAATCTTGTTTCTTTGGGGGCGGCGCCCAAGAACAGAGCTGTTGGGCTTGATCAAGAGCAGGATCGGGAACCCACATGAACAGTTTCAAGTCATGTTTCATCGAAGTGCGTGCGCCCAGCATCTCCTGTCGCAGACAGGCTCAGGACGTGTTATGCGGGAGCACAGGATGGTGCGAAGAGCATGGGCGGTAGGCGTGTGTTCGATAGCATGTTTGCTGGCGTTAGGCAAGCAGCACGGTCAACTCTTCACACGAGTGGTACGGGCGCCGCCGGCAAGTGTAGCTCCACTCTCACACAAGGATTTGGCCCACGGAGCGAAGTCTGAGTTCCTCGAGTCGTGGATCACAAGCAAGCGCCACAACCAGTTGACTTGGCTGCCTGCAGAGAGACATCTGGTGAACACCCAGTTTTCTTCCATACTCGTTCTTGGCGATTCGTACGCTGATGACGTGGATATGGGCTTCTTTTGCTGGCCATCGCGCCTTGGGAAGAGACTGAAGTTGCCAGTCCTGAACGTTGCTCGGGGCGGCTCTGAATCAGCTCACGTCAGTGCGCAACTGGAACGTGCACATGCCTGGAACCACGAAGACTTCGCGCTGGACATCCAAAGCCTCCTCATCTTGCACACAGGCGGCAATGATGCTTTGCACTCGTTGAGGAACCCTCGGATGCTGGCACTCTTGATTTCAGATCTGTATAGTCTTCGCAGTTCTAACGAAGACAAGCTGGAGTTGAGCTTTCCAAGAGAGCTGGGCAAGGCCGTCACTTCAAGGCTCGACGATTTCTTTGCCAGCGCCGCTGTACATGGGCACCGCCACATCGTCCTTAGCACGTTGCCCATCATCTCCTGCCTGCCATTGGCAAGGCTTCTTGTCCAGCTTCTGGTGCCCGGCGCGAACGCCGGCTTTGTGACCAGGAGCTTGCGAGCGCTCGGGCGCTCCATCAATCAAAGCGTGTGTGGGGATATCCAGAGCCTCGCGGCTAAGCATGGGGTCTATGCACAAGTCTTTGACGAGGCCTCCCAGCTGGAGTTGTTGGCAGAAGAGGCAGGGGCCTCGCAGCTCGGACTGTCGGACGGCTTGAGGCTTGTGCTTCGACAGCTTCAGCGGATCCTTACCGGACCCGTGAAAGACTCCGGCTTCTGGCACGATGGCCACCACCCCGCGGCAGAGGCTCACGAGCGCCTCGCAGAGGAAGCAGAGAAGATCCTGCACGCTTCTCCGCCTCCCGGCGCGACCCTCCGTTGAATCACGGTCGCCCTCCAGCCAAGGAATGAAAAGGAATCAAGTGCGAGTCCACAGAGGTGCCTCGATCCAAACCAAAAGCTCCCATCCCTTCCTTTGCCTCTAAGTCTTGAAGCAGCCTGAGGCCTGAAGCTGCAACCGCCGTGGAAAAGCTAAGGAAGCCACAGAACCCCAAGCTAGTCCCGAGTTTAAATCCTGGAAGCGAAGATGCTGGAGTGTCAGGGGTCAGTTTCAGAACACATGAAGAAGCAAGGGGCAATCACACCCAGAGCCTTGGGCCAGGTGCGCTTCGTGTCGACGGTTGCACGCCGCTTGCGCATCCTCGGCGTTCTGGCCTCGGACCGACCTCTTGCTTTGAGTTGCCCAAAGCTTTGGAAGGACATTGTTCGTTTCACTCCCTGTTTCCTAGCGCGCATGCTGGTTTTGGAAGCGAGGCAAAAGCCACAAGAAGGGTAACAAAACTCTGTGTTCTAGATCCAGGGCACAACGATAAATCCCAGAACGAGAATGGAAGGCAGAACAGAGAACAGAACGCAAACAGAGCAACTTGAACATTGTTGCGACATGTGCGGAGTGGCACCTTTCGAGATAAGCAAAGGTCTTGACTGGATCCGGCTTATTATTCCACGACCGCTGCCGTCCTCCAAGGCCATGATGAGAGGTGATCGCAATTCTGCGCACGGTGCCGTCAACAGCTTGGCCAGCTTCGACATGCAAAACCGCCCTTCAGCTGCAAGCAACTCGCTGCTTCTTGACATGCGCTTGTGGAGAAGCCCTTTTGTGATGGTGCAAGGTTATGGACGCCAGGCTCTGGCGCGTTTCTTCGAACTGCTTCGAACTGGTCAGCAGCCGGAGGTGAGAGAGCAAGTCGGGAGTGGCACTAGCATCGGCAACTGTTGGATGCCGTTCCGTTCGCCATCTTACTCTTGAGGTCTCCTTTTCCTTCTTGGCTCGACGGGGTCGACAGACAAGAGCCCAATGGCAAAGCTCCTTGCCTGAAGCTGCTTGGAGCTCTGCAACGATTCTCCATGAGCGCAGCGGCAGATAGTGGCAGGCTGGCCCGAGTTCAGGAAAGCAGCAGAGAAGGCCCAAGCTGGTGCTAGAATCCAATCCAAAGTGTCCTTCTGCTTGTGGGGCACGAAGGCTCTTGACCTGATCGGTCTTCGACCCGACACGGAAGACAAGTACGAGGTTCGGAGCAGGATGTGGAAGTAATGGGCACTGCGACATGTGCTGCTCTGAGACTCTGAGAGGAATCTCTCTCGGAGTCCAAAAGCTTGAATATCTTTCTGAACAGGCCGGACGATCAATTCTACAGTTGTTCAGAGTCCTGCGATGCCTAGTTTAAGGTTGCTCATGCTCGAACCGGTGCTGCAAAACGCTCTTTTCGATGCTGTGGCGGAGCTCTATGCACACCTGGTGAGCCCCAACCCCGATAATTCAACAGATGAAATTGACGTGTGGCAGCCAAGCAGAGCCAAACTGTGAGGTCTGGACCAAGCTTCTGGAAGCTACGATGGGGGACCCGAGCTCCTCGATAAGAAGCCGCTGGGACTGTACTTTCGCGCTCCCCTCTCCTCTTGAGACGAATTTATATTATGCGCCCCGGGTCGTTGAAAGGCGCGGCATCCAGGCAGAAGTCTGGCCCTAAACGCAGAGATGCCCCCAAAACACTGCTTACCTGCAAAGTCCTTATTGTGGTCTCTCAGGTCCGGCTTGCAAAGCGCGAGGTGCGAAAGATTTGCTCCGCTTCTGCTCACCTTCTGTCAGCACTTGATGCTGCTGCGGTGCGGGATGTTGCGTGGCAGGTGCTCTTCGAAGATCCCGTTACCGGAGCCGAAACGGCAATCCGGCAGCAGAAGATGTTTTTGCCAACTTCTGTCTGGCACTCGAAATGTAATACACGGATGCGATGTGGAATATGTCGCCCTCCCACTTTGACCGGATTTCACTGAACACACGACTGTCATGGAATTGCTCGGCTCACGAACCTGCTCACACTGAAACGGGATCTTGGAATGCCTTGTAATCACAGATCTTCCAGTGGCAACTGACCGACATCAGTTTTCGCCGAAACCTCACATCCTGAAGCGCGCAGCCTCAACTTCCTTCAGCGCAGCATGCTGCCCAAACCTTTTTGAACCCAGTCCCCGGCGCCAGGCATGTTTTCTGTCCAACGTATTTCTGACATTTGCGAACTGTTTCGTGTTTGACGATGGGCCCTGATATTGATATGCAGGCATCCCGGAGGCCCGTTCGCAGCAGTCGTTGTATTATCCTAGCCAGGGACCCGTTTTTCGCGCTTGAAATCTCGAAACGATCGGAAAGCCGTGCTCGGCTCCGGTAGACACCGAGGTATCAGCAGAGCATTGCCTTTGAGTGGGGCCGCATGGGGCCGCTTTTTTTGTTGCAGTCCTTCAGTTTTCTGGTCCTGTGTTCCCCTGGGTCGGATTTGGAGACATGGTTGGTAAGCAAACGCAACAGTCTAGACGCATGCATGTGTGGCTTTCCCCGCAAGGCTCAACCTGGAAACTCGACCTTCTGGATTCACCGAACGCATTTGGGCTGAACATGCAGTGTCTACGCTGTTGCACAGTGCAGGTGAGCAGAACATCGAAAACAAAGCGAGGCCCAGAGAATGCTGATAGAAATAAAAGACAGAAACTTATGCAGAGTTGTGCATCGTCCTGTCTACTTCCAGCGCCGCTCGCCGAGGCATATGTCCGCTTGAAGCTTGATCGTGGCATGGCATGGGATGCAGCAGAGGAGGCTTTCAGACGTATTAGGTACGATGGTACCGCTCAGGCCGAAGCAACTTCTTCAGTGCATAGCCTGTGCAGGTGCTTGACCGCTGCGGAGGACGTGCCGAAGAAGTCGAAGGGTTTTATTGGTTCCCAGGCTACACGCATAGATCAAGCGCCCCCTCTGTCGTACTGGCTGTTGCACGACCCCTGCTGCGCGGAGTGCGTTTGGGGGCTTCGGGGCAGTCAGAGGACGAGGAAGAGGAAAATGATGTCGAGTTTGAGCTACACTGGCCTCAGGGTCCTCCAGCTGGTTGCGACCTCGAGCAGCGGGTGTATGCCTCTACGTTGCGGCAGGGCACGCGTTTCCGAAAAGCAAAGGCTTCGGAGCTGGGTCAGGTTCAGTCCGCTTGGCAGGCTGCTTGGCAGCTTCGCAACGCGTCTGAGCGCTGGCAGGAAGAGCATGTCCTAACTGGGTCAATCCTGAGCACTTGGGCGGTTCTCGGGACTGCCATAGGCACCGTGCAAAGCTCGAAGGTGCGCAGAATACCACTCGTGAGGGCGAAGCTGACAGATGGTGGAGCAATTGTCGGAGTTCGCGTGCAGCCGGAGCGTATACAAGAAGTGAGATACCTTCTTTCTGCGATCTCGGAGCAGGGAGGCAAGAGCAAAGAGAGCACGAAGGTGGAGGTGGAGCTGGCAGATGAGGAGCATGTCGAGCACATCGATGTCACGCGACTTTCTGCGCAGCTCGAGGCCGTGTATTCCAAGGGAGTAATTACTGTAAGTCAATGTGCTGTCGCCAAAGTTCCTGTCTGTGCACCCGCGGAGTTTTTGAGTCTCAAGTGTCGTGCACTGCCAATGTGTGTTTAGGGCTTAGCTTGCTGAGCACAGCAGCTGCCGGAGCCTGTTGCGTCACCGGCAATGGCATCTGCAAAGCTGCTGCTCCCTGACGACCTTGTAAACCTCCAGCCGACAGCCGATGGCACCGTATGGCAGTGTGTCACACAGTCAGACTCGGTTTCGAGAACGCTTCGCGTCGTCCACCTCGGTCCGGCCGCAGGTGAAGAGTTGTCTTGGCGGAAATGATACACCAGGAGGGGGGTGAGGGTAGCGACGCGGAAGAGGGAATAATCAGGAGCGGACATCAAAGGGTCTGCAGGCGAGAACCTCTGACCGCTTCGCTTGGCTGGGACCGAGCGAATTGAGGCGGTGAACCTACATCCAGTGGTATCAGAAGAGCTGTCGGAAGCCGCAAGTCGTGACTTGCACGTTCGCCCTGCTGCACGCCTCTTTGTACAAAGGCGCCCGGGAAGGCGCCTGCCAGGACGGCTTCCTCGGCGAAAGCGTAGATCAGCTTGTGTGCGGCTGCCAAGTGAACACAGTTGCTGCTGCCTTTCCGTCGGCGGCCTTCTGACCCACGAATTCGAATGATTCCATTGACAGATAGACTCAGACAGGTGCTGCGGGTCTGACTTTGCATGCAAGAGGGCACCAGGAAAAGTCTTGCACGATGATTGCCCATGCATGCAGTGCTCTCATGCAGATCTACTTGTGGATTTTCGCGAGCTAAACGAGCTACATAACCTTTTAAGACAGATCTTCCAGAAATGGCGACATGTTTGAGGCCTTCCTGCGAACGCAACCCGATCAGCGTGCCGTGTGGCACGGCTGGGCGGGTGCTCACAAAATGCTGGTGGCCGACGGCCTGGTAAGCGCGAGGGCTCCCGGCATGCGCTTAGCACAGGAGGCCATGGAGGATTTGGAGCGAAATGGCAAAATCGACATAGATTCCGAGACTGGCATCGTCCATCTGCGTGAGAAGCCCAAGGGCTGCGGTTGGTACATTCCACCTCCAAAGAAGCCAAAAGTGGCGCGAGGACGCGGTCGAGGTCGCGGAGGTGGGCGGGGGCGTGGTACAGCCCAAGCGCCCTAAAGCCCTAAAGCCCTTCGAATCCTCTTGCATCTCACCATCAAGATAATGCCGTCTGCAGCACCACCGCCTGCTGCACAGCCTGGCTTGGGGCATGGTGGACTGCCGATTCTGGCAGCTGCTGTACATAGCCATTGTTTCCAGGGGACGCAGACATGTGCGGGGGGGTGCACGCATGTGTCCAAGAAGTTTTCAGGTCAGGAGGAGAGCGGGCCGGAGACTGTACATTACTGTAGACTTGACGTGCTCTGCATGTTCGTACTGTGATGCAGCATGGGCTTGCCTTAGGTCCTGAACCACCCAGCTGTGCTTGTGGCACGACTCGTGCAGTCTTGACACTGTAGACTGAAGACCCTCGAGCGAGTGTGTTCTAACTGTAGCACTACCACGTCCTTGTAAACTATAGGAAGCTGGCCAGAAGCATGGCGCTTGCTTTGCCAGTGCAGTGGCGACTTGGGCACATGGGGCCTGGGCGGCGGCTCCACGTGGCCCGACAATGTAGCAACCAGAGCTGGAGGGTCCAAGCGGCCACGCTGGGCGGAACCCTGGTCTCGCTGCTCAAGGCGCTGAGGCAGGCGGGTGTGGCAGAGCGAAGGAGGAGGCTCCGAGAGGCCACGACGGCCCAGCTGCGGATCATCAGCGCAGGGCTCCGCCTCCGGGCTCCGGGTGGCGAGGGCTCGCGCGCAGCTCTCATGGCCAGGATCGAGGAAGCTTTGGCCCAAGATGCCAGGCTAGCTGCTCCCGACCAGCCGATTGGCCGCATTCTCCGAAGCTTCCCGACGGACAAGACCGACCAGTTCGAACAGCTGATGATCGATCGGCTGAGTTGTGCAAAGCTGAAGGGTCGGCCCACCACACTTCTCGTGCTCGGAATCGCTTCTTGTGCCCAGCTCCACTCACGCTGCTTCTGCTTGCCAGGCCTTTGCCGGCCCTTGCGCCTCAGTACTGCCGGCAGGAAGGCTGGGCCGCTGGGCAAGTGTTTCTGATCTGATGCAGCTCTGAGATGACCGGAGTCAGGCAGAGCTTGCAAACCAGATCATCGCGGAGCTCATGGAGCGACATCCGCCAGGCACGGTTGAATCCAGAGTCTTTTCAACAAAAAACTCTTTTGCCCTCTTCTTACTTTGTCAGGCTTTCAAGAGCCAGAGGTTGTGAAGATTCCGGCAAGCATGCCAAGGGCCACAAGACCCAGCGGCCCTAGCGAGCCGAAAGTGCTTCACGACGCTTCTCCTCGAGGCCGCCGAGGCAAGCCTAAATCTGATACGGCCCTGTGTGGCTCTGATTTCGCCCCCCCCCCCCCCCCCCACCATGCTTTCGCCAGATGAGTCTCCCGACCGCTCCGAGCCCGAGGCAGGGGACGCGTGCTGCACATGTGGCACTCCTCTGACCTCAGTCCTGAGGATGTCGAGGATGGGGTGCTGATACCAACAGTGGCTGTCCGAGATCCCCAGCCATTCGCACATGCCTCTTCGAGCTGCTTAAGCATGAAAGAGCTTCTTGATGTCAGGTTCTTGTCAGCGAGGAGGAGAGAAGACAATGCCAGCAAGCGGAGCGACGACAGCGGAGAAGGCTGCACGAACGGATCAAGCATGGCCTGGTATCACTGTGTGGTTTCTCGGAAGGAACCGATTCGCAGAAATTCTGGCTGAGGACTTCAAAATCTTCAAAGTACAAATGCTCTGCCCCAAAGCGGAAATCATCAATGGCTCAGGAGCTATCTTGCGTCGTGCATCCCCAGCAGGGCGCGACTTGCTGAACTCTCCTGAGATGGTCAGCCATTGCATGGCCTAGCTTGAAGGTTTCACGGTTCCTGCATGGGACGGCCATACTGGTGCCAGGATGGGTTCCAGCTAGTTGCAGATGAACACGGTTACTGCTTGCCCTTTGGTCTGGAGAGGAGGTGCTTCTTGGATTGCCAGAGATTCAGCTTGACCCACGTGCTCCAGAAGCCCGAATTATCCCGATGGATCATCCTAGCGACGACAGTGCTGCGTGGTGCCTTCTTCTGTAAATATGAGTCCATGACCGCCGTTTGCCAAAACTGTAACACATACACGCCGCCACGAGCATTCCCGTCATCCGTTTCACAGCGTATTGCGGCAGCCGCGTCCAACCAAAGAGAGGCGCTGTTGAAGCCCTTGGCCTCACGACTCACCATCTGCAACCCTTGCGCTGGATCTGAAAGGCATGGGGATATACGAACGTGCTGTGTGGCCTAGCCTTCTACTGGCCCAAGAGTGAGCATGATTGAAGCAAGAATCCTCGACAAATTTTAGCTCGTCTTCCCAACACACACTACTGCAAGCTGCACACGGCCACCTGCTTGAACTGCCAATTCATTGAGCCATGGCATTGAACGTGAACGGCCAGGCTGCGATCAATGTTGTACCAGCTTGCAGATAGAGTCCGTGTCTCAAGGCCGCGGCAGGTGCGTAAGGGCATACTGTTTTCCAACTTGGCTACGGTGTCATCCAGAATCATCCAGAAATATGCTCACGCCGCCCGCCCTTCATGCTAATTTTCTCCTCAGAGTACCCTTCCCTCCCTCCCTCCCTCCCT